TGAACTGTGCAGCTACCCAGAACTTTTGGGACCAAAGTGTAAATCAGGGAAAACTTATTCCAAACCCTTATAAACTCAAGAAGCTCGCCCAAGAAAGTGGGAAGCTTGTTTTTAGACTATTTTGGAGGCAAGAACAAGTGTGAGAAGAGCAACCAACCATTAGAGTTTTTCTATCTTCTCTTATTATTTCAATTGCACATTATGACCAATTTAGTAGTTTTATCTTGTTTGGTTATGAGTAGCTAATTCCTTAATCTAGGGTTTTGATGGAACCTATTGAAGGATGAACTTCTTGTTATGTTAATATAGTTTGCCCAGTTTAATCTCTATTTGTTCAACTGCGTTCTTGTTGTAGTTAATTGATAGGATCCTCAATTAGTTGTGCCTATTTAGTGTGCATAACTCGGGAGAGAGTGCATATTTAGATAATTGTTGAACAACACCACTCCCAAAGTATATGAGGGATCAATAACTGAGGGTTTAAAGGCGGGATTAGGGATAACGAAGCGTTGGGTGCAATCTAAAGTGAGCTGTAATAAACAGAGCCAGCTAGCGTAACTCGGGAGAGTGCGTCTAGTAAATTGTCGTGATTACTCGGGAGAGATTTACGGTAATAAGAGTGCTCATGATTGATAGAGACGATCAGGCGAATCCATGTGAAACATAACCGGAAAGAATTCCATCAATAGGGGAAATCATAACCTTAGATCCTTCTCTTAATTGTTTACAACTTAATCATAGTTAGTCTTAATTTGCTTAATTGCAGTCAGTCTTAGTTAGTAGAAACATCCTCACTTGTTATTCAAAACGTTTGGGAAGTTGATTACGTAGAATTTCGTAAGTCTAACGAGAGCAATTGATAGGTTGATTCCTTGTGGGTTCGACTCTGGGCTAAATACTCAGATTATATTTGCAACGTCCGCTTAGTCCTTTTTATAAGGCATAGTTGGGCGTGATCAGGGACCTTGCCCGTTGCTTCTCTCTGGGCATCCTCATCACAAGGTAGATTTTCTAGTCCGGAAGGCTCGGTGGGGCTCAACTGGCTTCCTGGTCCGAGTCACCAACGCCGATTCTTCATCATCATTCTCCTCACCATCCGGGGAGTCATGGGCTGAGTCTGTGCCCGTTTGAGCAAACCTTTTCCGCAGCCTTCGAGTGGAGGTTTTCTTGTCTTGAGAGTCTTCGGGTTTCGAGATCCTCTTTCTTTTGTTGTCCTTCTCGAGCTTCGGATTTGAAGACTTGATTTTTTCCCCAAGCAGGGCCGGCCTCATCTCGGACGAATCTCCAAGGCCGTGGTTCTTGGCCTCACATTGGCCCTTCGCCAATTCGCGCCACTTATGCTTGTCATAAGAGGATGTGGCAGCTAGTTTCCTGACCCAATCCTCAAGGTCAAGCACCGCTAGGGGCGCCCAAGCGTCGGCTGCCAAAAGAAAGATGAGAAAGCTATGAAAAGTGAAAGAACATTAATAGAACATGAATAGATACAAAGGAAAATGCAGACTCCACTTACGGTTAAAATTCCACCTCTCCGGGGACGGCATTTTTTCCTCGGGGATGATGTCTGAAGTCCTGACTCTAACAAATCGGCTCATCCAACCTCGATCTGTGGTTTCATCGGTGCTAGCGAAGAAAGACTTCGTGGTTCGGCGCTGCAGCTTGATAAGCCCTCGGAATAACTAGGGCCGATACAACCGAACTAGGTGGCTGAGCGTGAATTCTAAACCCTCGGCCTTCTCAAAGAAATACCGCAACATGATCACGATACGCCAGAACGAAGGGTGAATTTGGCCGAGGGTGACTTCGTATGTCTTGCAGAAGTCAATCACCACTGGATCGAGGGGGGCCAGTGTGAAGGGGTAGGTGTAAACACTCAAAAACCCCTCCTTGTGGGTAGTTATGCTTTCATCGGGCCTCGGGATCTGAACCTTGCGTCCCCCCATCGACAATCCTCCCTCACCTCCTTGATGAGCTGCTTGGTTATCAGGCTAATATATCGTGACACGTGCTCGCATCGGCCCTCGACATATGGAGGATTCTCGATACCGAAGTCCTTCTTGATGATGCAATCACCAGGGGTTATCTCTTCAAGTGTCGGTGGCATCACCGGTTTGGCCGACCGAGAGGCGGAGGAGGATGATGCTTTATCTTTTTTAGGGACCGTCTTGGAAGTTTTGGCCATGGTTGTAAGGTGAGGAATGCGAGTGAACAGGGACTCAGTGTTTCCAGCAATAGCTTGGTATTTTGCAGCGTTTAAAGAGGCGGAGCAAAGAAGTGATTGAAGAAAAAGATGAGGATTGAAAGAGATTGAAGAAAGGTAAAGTTATTTACCAAAGGAAAACGCCTCATATTTATAGAGGGGCAGCGACGGTTCGAAGGCGTTAATGGTCGACTAACACTAGCGTGCATTTAATGTTTTTGGGGAAGCGGGCTGACGAGACGTTTCGGTCACTTCGAACGTTGGCTTCACAAGGATGACGTCATCACTAGAGGTTCGAGAAAATCGAGGTCAGAATCGTTTCCTATCATCTTATTCTAAGAAACGCGGGGACTATCTGTATATGGTCAAAATCGAGGAGTACGATTTTGAAGTCTTAAATCAGGCTATAGGTCCGAGTCCGGGAGACTCGGAGTGGGTGTCGTATCCGGCTAAGGGACACCTACCTCGAGGAAGCTGATCGGATTCCTGGCATGGACTGCATCGAGGGCAGCATTGTCTCGAAGTCAATCAAGAAAGAGCGGGAATTTCTCAAGGACACTTGGATTTGGGCATTAATTATAGGATAAGGGTTGTACGAAATTGTACAGGTACGTACTAGGCTGTTATACACCTATACCAATAGAATTCTTTACCTTTATGAGCAAGGTACTATAATGGGGTTTTCTCCTCCTATATAAAGGGGACCCCATTCATTTTGTAAGACACAGACTGCAATAGAACATTTTTATTCTTCTCTTGTTTAATGTGCTTAGCAATTATTCTTCAGCTTTATTGCCTTTATTTTGTTGTTCATACTTTATTGGTCTTAGCTGACCTCGAGGTCCCTGGATAGACGAGCTCGAGGCCCCTACTGTTCTGATAACATTGATTTGGTCATTATTTCTTTTTACTTAAGCTCAATATAACTCATTTAATCACTAGTATTAGAATATATCACGTATCTTTAAAACCACAAATTATCTTTAATTATTATCACATTTTTCGAGGTAAATAGATTTATCCTTTGTTTTCTTATCATTTAGTTTAACAAAAGCTTAACACCTTTTTTGATCAAACAATTGGGTTGAATCTAAGTCATCTCATCCACAATCAAGCAAACAGAAAAAGAAAAGTATCGCACTTCCCTAATAATACTGCTAATCTGATCCATTTAGCTCCTCGTGAGACATTGTTGATCCAATACCAGATTTTGTCTATTTTAATTTGAAAAAACTTCTTTCCCTGGATGCAATTGTTATAGTAGTACTTTATTCTATAAGGAATATAGGCATTCAAAAAAAAATGAAGTCTTGATATCTTATTAAGTATATCGATTAGAGTCTTATTTTCTACTTGTAATATTTGGGGGCCTAAAATCATTGCTTGGGTTGCTTTACCCTTCAACCGGCGTTGCCTTTAACCAGAGGTCAGCGAGCTCTGGAAAGGAAAAAAAATATTGGTAGGGAGCCGTCTCCCTGATTAATAAATCTTACACAACGATTTCGAATTAGCCGAGGCCTCAATATAAATAACGGACATCGGATGAAAAATAAATAAAGGTATAGCAGTTACCAAAAAAGAAAGCCCCAGTATGCTCAACTTCTACGGATCTTCAAGTCGTGTAGTTGAGGAGTTAAGTTTGTACATAAGAACCATGTGAAATGAAACAAAAAGTCGGCAACTCTCCAAGTTTTGTCTATATGTTAGAATGAAGATGCGTCTGGAACACTCTTTCAACAGTTCCTGGCCACAAAACTTAGACACGAGATTACCAACCCGGCATGATCCCCAAAATAAACAACCAAGGAGAAGTTTCCCAAGGGAAAGAGACCTTACGAGCACGCAGTATTTCGTTAAGGGAGTTCAAAAAAGAAAAAAAATTAAAAATTAAAAAAAATTGTGGCTAGTGAGAATTGAACAAGCAAGCAGCCTAACAAAGGTTTTGAACCCCCTTAACCACTAAATTATGCTTTTAGATAATGTTAAGGGGATTCAAAATATAATATATAGAGATACAAACTTATTTGCCTTATATACAAAACAACAACAACATACCTAATATTATCCCATACCGTGGGGTCTGGGAAAGCTAGTGTGTACGCAAACCTTACCCCTGCCCTGTGACTTGTGAGGATAGAGAGGTTGCTTCCCATAAAGAGGTTGTTACCAATAAATTTTGCTTTATATATACAGCATAATTTTTCGGCAAAGGAGGTTCAATCTGCCCATGCTCACGAGCACATGAAAACCTAATGGACTTCGATAATTGCCACTACTTCCAGCTAAGTCCAAAACTACTTTTGGAGTTTGTGCACGCATCATGTGCTCGGAGGAATGGATTGACCCGTGACCCAAGAATTTAACTAAAGGGAGTCAAAATATAAATAACTAAGCTCGCAAAGAAATCCAGGGAAACCATAAAAGTTAAGAATTAAATCTATATGCGCAGTTAAATTTCCCGACAGAAGGGTGTCAATTGATTTCCCTTGCCAATGAGTGGCTCCGCCACTGGGACTGAAATAAAAAAAATTGCCAGGCTTCGAGCTAAGAAATAATCTCCGTTGTCAGTAACTATTTGAATAGAAGAAAATGACATGGCAAAAGTCTCTTATAGTTTATTTTGGATCTTTTGCGATTGACCATAAAACCGATCTCCTCAGTCCTCATGAAAAATGAGAGAAGGGGACAGGGTAGAGAAAAAGTAGATGGGCAAAGTTTTTAGCAGTACTATCCGAGAATCAAAAGTTGAATTTACTACTCTGAAAATTAAGAATATACTACAGGACTATTTGAGAATCAAGAGTTGGAGCTACTACTGAATTATGTATCATATCATTAAGACATATCTGAGTTTGAAAAATTACACGATAGTATGTTTTACAACATAAGAAGAACGAGAAAGATAAGATCCCGGTAACATACTGAAAAACTGCATGCTACAAGGTATTTTGCGTCCATTTTGCACAAGTTTACAGCCAAGATTTGTTTAGTGCATAAGGGCGACTGCAGCTTCTTGCACTAAAGGCTGAGTTATATGCACAAAATGCTCTGCCTCTTGCTCTAGTTGTTCCCGACAACGGTGCACGTCCTTTCCTTCTTTCATTTTCTTCACAAAAGCGACGAATCGCCTCCAATTATCAGGATGGAACAGGTCTGGATTCATCCTCAAGTATGTAAATGCACACATCTCTCTGTCACTTGATTGATCATCGATACCCAATGAGGATGCTTGAAGGATCTGTTCATGTGCATAGTCGTCATATCGTGGCAATGCATTCTCCCCAGCGAGTGGAACTTGAGCTTCCTGAGTTGCTAATGCCACTTGCCTAACCAACTTCTCAGGTGCACATTGTGCATCTTGTGGCTGCTCATGGTCTCGCATCTCAACACATGTGAAGTTGAAAATTGCACCGTGGCGGGCAAGCATCTGGGCGATGGGAAGGTAACCATCACGGAAACGGGTGTTGTAGTACCCAGCCGTGAGCTCAGGGGCATGGGACCTTGTTCCATAATGCCAGTGAATGCCTGCAATCTTAACCGAAATCTTAACGCCCTTGTTATCGAATGTTGCCTTGGCAGATTGCAATATCCTCTCACCATGGTTCAAAAGCATTTGAGAATACCAAGTGAGGAAGAACTCCCCATATTGACCATCCCATCCACCACCTTCCTTCCTGAAAAAGTTGGTATCTTCTGGCCAATTGTTGTAGTGACCAGCGTCTGTTGGACCTGTGTGTCCCCATTCAGGCTTGCCAAAAGCTTCTGCTGCAGCCTTTAAGCTGCTGATCATGTACTGCCAGGCGAACAATTTATCAGAATAAATCATCGGTGATAATGAAGTCACCAAAACACAGCATAAAAAATGAAAAAAAGAAATTGGTTTATACCTTGTCATAACACTGAAAAGCCCCAATTCCAGGGAATTTCCATGTTCCATCTTGTTCGGGGTAGGATGGGTAACGAAGCTCTCCAGCAGGACCCATTCCAACTTGAATTTCCTACATACACAAATCATTGGAAAAATGTTTTGAGATTTTCTATTCTTAGATCAGCGATATCATGCAGCATAATTCAAAATTGGACTAGCATAAAACTTACCACAATGGTGTCCCCTAGCAGGTTCTCAAATCTATCTCTGAACCCTCTCATGAAATCAGAATAACATTGAACAGGAGTCCTCCCTTTAAGAACTGGAAGTGTGTCACAACCGAGCGATACATATTCATAATTCCTCCTTCCCCACTGATCTGTGTATGCGAGGTCAGGATCCTTCTCCATCTCCTCAACAACCCACCTTGGAAGAGGGATCCTGAAATTTCAAATCTACTATTAAGCACGCCAGAAAACAAAGACTACATAACTCTGATTATTAGCATGGAAGTCAAGTGCATAGCAAGACTCTAAAGTTAATTAACAAAAGAAGATTTCACATTATCTTGACTTTTTTTATTTTATTACAGCTCCTCTTGAAGCGCCCAAGTTCTTTATTTCATGGGTAATTTTGAGCCTTCACGTTTCAAAGTTACCAAGTTAAATGCAACTCAACAAGCTTTAAACATTCAAGCAACACAGTGACTGGAAAGGGCTTTGCTAATATCAAACAGCATGGACCTTGACAATACCAAAGGCGACAATAAACCAATTCAGTGTTTTACTTGCTCAGTACATTCTTGTCGTATGGTAGCCTCCCCTTCACTCCTAGGCAATTAAAAGCTAGGACAATGAGTATTATATGAATGGAGTAGAAACATTTCTATTTTCTTTCCTGTTGTCTTTAACCAGCATCACAAATCAATGTATATAATTAATTACATTTTTCACGTAACACTAAGTCTATTATCTATTACTTGTTGTTATAACTGGTTGTTATACGAATTCTCCATATCCATTTTACTCTATTCAGGTAGATTCCAATTCTAATATCAAGTCACTTGTCATTTAAGGTAAAAATGAGATTCTTTAAATTGGTCAAGTAATGCATTTTGTACTTTCTTCAAATTGATCTGAAAAAAGGTTTTTTCTTTTCAACCAATTTGGCCCCGATTAATCCGAATTCGGGCTAGGAAGTCCCACTTTGAGAATGAAATGTTTCCAATCAAATCCGAATTTCCAGTCAAGGATAGAGGGATATTTTACTAGCCCACCACAACCTTTGCGGGTATCGCAATACAGGTTATCTAGATACTTGAGCAAGTTTACGCTTTGAAACTCCCTTAAAGTTAAGAACAAAATGTCAAAAGTTTTTTTTTTCCCTTTTTCACATATCCAGATCCTAGGGATATTCTATCAAAAAGTATTCCATTTACTTACTCCTATCTGTTTATTTTAAAGTTAATTCGCTTTATCTAGATTTTACACCCCATTGTAATCTGAGAACCACAAATTTGCAGATACTAAATTAAGTCATAGCAACTGCAAATTAATAAAATAACTAAAAGAATAGAGAGTTGAAGAGTGAATGTACGCACGTGCAGGAATCACCGACGTTTCCGCCACATTGATGAAACGACATGACAGCCTGGACTTTGAGCCCATGCTTCTTCGCCATTTCCAATAGCTCAGCGTAACCGCCCCAATTGTATTCCCCCGGCGCGTCTCTCTCCACTAATCCCCACCACACATCCATCATGATCCCTTCCACTCCTGCGCTCTTCAACGCCTGCAAACTCGCGTTCATCGCCTTCTTCCTATTCACCGTATGATCCATCTTCACGCTGTCCAACGGCATCATAACAAACACCGGCACTCCTTTCCCTTTTTCCGGAGAATTCCCGAGCCTATGCTCTCTCTCCACCGCCGTTTCTGCCAGAGCTTCCATTAGTGCTTGACATGCTACCGATAAATCCGGCCGCATTCCTCCTTTCAACGGACTCAACGGCGGAGATGGCGTCGGCGACAACATGTCCACGTCAGCTCCTGTTTTCTGCACCGATACTCTTAGATTCGTCAACGGCGTTCTCCATACAGCTGATGCAGTTGTGTTTCCCTTCGCCGGAACTTCGCCGCCGGTCTCCGCCGTTAACGGTGTTCCTGATAAGGCACCGATCTGGTGTGGCATACTCATCGCCATAATATTCAGAAAATTTTAAAAATTTTTCCAAAAGAGTGAGAACTATATGAAATTTTTTTTTTTGGGCTTTGTTTTGTGTACACTTTGAAGAAGCAAATTGTTGATACTGAACGAGAGGAAGGAAGAAAGTGGAATATTTATAGAGCTCGAGAAATTCAGATAAGATTATAATATAATTATGTAAAGATCTAAAAGGAAACGTTCAATAAACGACACGTGCAAAGTTGGACACGTGGCGAAGAATCAGCGAATGCGGAGGCGACGGCTGCGATTGCTTGATCACGTGAATGGGACGGTGGAACTGCGAGACGCGTGAAGGATCCAGTGAGGATGCAGCTGAAGTATGGGAAGACTAATGGGGAAAAGAGTTCTTCATACTCAATTTTCTCACGTCCAATCAATAAATACAAGTGTGTGGATGATATTTTTATTTAATTTGTAATTTTTAAAGTTAACTTTTATGGATAATAAACTAATGAGTACAAGAGTGAGTTCCCTCTTGGCATTTAAAAGTAAAGAGAGAGATACAACAACAGTAATAAATTCAGTTAAATTTTATAAGTACGGGTTTAGAAAGAATAGTACGTACCTACCCTACTTCTATTCTAGGAGGACAGATAGATTGTTTCCGATGAATCCTCGCTCAAGAGAAGATGAAAAGGAATAGTGACAACAAGCACAGGGCGACTCTTCCATAAAGTAAGTAAAGCAACCGCTTTAGGCCCCATATTTGTGTGGGGCCCATTTTTTGTTACACCTAATAGACTATGTTTAAGTTTAAAAAAGAGTTCTATAAAATGAAAAAGTTTGATTTCTTTCTTTACCAAATATAGAGAAGAAAGATTTACAACTACTATGATTTCTACCAACGAAATTGCACTTGAAATAACTATCGAACCCGAATTTCATAAGAAACATGTGATATATAGGAAGTAACAATTTGATACGAATGTTATTAATGAAATCTCAAAATCTTTCGAAGAGTCCTTTAGAGTTGATTATTTTTATACATAATAGACAACGATATTTTTTCACTTCAAAATAGATTTGAACAATTCAAAGCATATGAAAATATTTTTGGTTTTCTATTTGACAGTAAAAACTAAGATCACTAGATGTTGGAAATTTAAAAAAATACTGCCTTAATCATGAATATTCCTTAAAGCATAATAACCAATTCAATATTGATAGTTTAGATTTATTTTCTGAATTAAAAGTATTAAGGAAAATAGTACAGTTAGAACATAACAGTTTAATTGATACACTTAATCAAATAAAAAGATTTAATTCTTTTCCAAACGCCTAAATTGCTAATGGAATAATGTTCATAACTCATGTTACCGTTGCTTCAGCAGAAAGAAGTTTTCAAAATTAAAATTGAAAAAAATCTTACCTAAGAACAACAATATCACAAGAAAGGTTAAATGGATTAGCTATATTGTCAATTGAAAAATACTTATTAGGAGTTATAGATTACAAGAAAATTATTAATAGCTTTGTATCTAAGAAGCTAAAAAAAATAGACTACAAATAAATAATAAAAATAATTTAAAAGCTAAGGCCCCTCATAAAATTTGGCTTTAGGCCACAAAATTCGTCGAGCCGCCCCTGAACAAGCAGTAACAACATAAGATACTAAAAAGACGGAAGTAAAAGATAGCAATCAAATAACATGTAATAACAGAAATCTAAGAGTAAGAAATAATATATTATATAAATACTAATTAATACTACCGATATGGGAAAGAAAAAAAAAACACTCACACTACCGACTAAATCCACCCTACCAGAATCAAAATGTGGTTCTTTTGGACTCAAAATACCTTTTTAGGTGAAATAAAAAAAAAGTTACCATTCTATATAAAACGCGGTTATGAACCGCGTTTTACCTTAACGGCCGTTTGAGATATTAAGGTAAAGCGCGGTTTATAACTGAGTTTTATATAAAATGCAGTTTAATACCACGCTTTACCTTAACGTCTTATCAGCTTCCAGGTAAAGCGCGGTTTATTATTGCGTTTTATATAAAATGCGGTAAGAAATCGCATTTTACATGTTTTGTAGGCCACCAATAACTCTTCTGCGCTTAACTGACATAACAATAATTCAAATATGTAAAACGCCTTTTTAAACTGCGTTTTACTTTCAAAAATTTGACCCCCCCGGATTGGGCATTGCCTTATATAAAGGCGTTAAGGATTTTGAGAAAAATTATTCAGAAATACTCCAACTTCGTGATAAATTTTTCTTGTTGTTTAATTCTCAAGCTTTTCTCATAATGTCTGAAGAGCGAAAAGTAAAGATTTCATTATATTGGGGGGGGGGGGGGTTGGGGATTTGATGTTGTGGTGGCGAATAACTTAGTGAGCTATAGTTATCTCCACAGAGTCATGTTAAGTTTCCATTTACAATGGAGTACGATAGACTGGTATCGTTATTATGCAATAAAATGAGGTTGAGCAAATGTTCGGTGAATCTTAAAATAACCGGAAGATATCCGTATTCTGTGACTCCGCTAGGGGTTGCTTGTTACGATGAGTTTAACATCGAGGATGATGAAACTCTGAGAGATTTTTTGGGGACTCCGGATGAATACCGGGAATTTATTTTGATAAAAATATTGGAAATGTACGTGAAGGTTGAAGACGTTCTCAATAATGATGTTGCGCAAAGCAGGGATAACCCTCAATCATCGAGTGGTTATTTTGGAGCAGTTTTAGCCCAACAGGTTCCGGCTGTAAAAGTTTGGTCGGATCTAAACTTATCTCCGCGGGCGAACGAGGAGAGGGGAAATAATTTCTCTCCTACTTTACATAATCCACAAGACGACTGGTAAACTTTAATTTTCCTTTGTGTTACGATGTTTATTTTTGTTGTATTGAATTTGTATTAACACTCATATATTCCACAGGGGGTACCGTCCAGATATGAATTTTACAAGTTATGACCCCACGCCCAGTTGGAATATGCGTAGTTTTGGTGTGTTGGATCACGGTGGTCCATCCGGGAGTCATCACCAACATGATATGTCCATCATGGAATGTTAACACTATACGACTTGTAAGTGAAGTGATATAGCTATATGTAAAGTATTTATCAATTTGAGTAGCTTATCATTTTATTGTTTGTGTAGTGAAAACGAGCAACTTGATGGTCCTGACCTCACTCAGTTGCCTGTAGACGACGTATTTACTCGGGATTTGGCAGATGCGCAGAGTTAGGAAGATAATAGTGATTATGACAACAATGTCGATGAGTCTGGAGATGACACACCCTTCGCTGACGAGGGTGATGATGAGGAGGAAGTGAATGTCGAACATGAGCTTACGAGGGAGCATGCTCCACCTCGCGTTAGACCAAGAGTGTACGAGACCCACGTGCCGTATCATTCAAGGCATATTTGCTACCTTGATAATTTGCCAAGTATGCCGGATGTGGATGCCCTCACAAGGGATCTTGACGAAAGTCGGTCAGCAATGTGGGATGAGTCTAGACCAACTGTGCTGGCAAAGGGCGTGTATTTTCTCGATAAAGCTCGCATATCCAGGGCTTGTAAAATGTACAGCGTAAGAGAGTGTTGTGAGATGATGGTACGGGAGTCAAGTCCGGAGGTATACAAGGTTGTTTGCCGTAGATGATTTACGGGTTTTCACTGGGTGCTGCGTGCGACCAAGAAGGAAACAGGGTTGTGGAAAGTAGGTAAATATATTGGCACCCATGTGTGTGAAATGGACACATTCAATGAGAATCACTTCAACTTGGATGTTGACTTGATTTCTCTTGTCTTGATTCCACACTTGGAAGTGTCCATTAGGTACAAGATCAAAGAGTGTATTACATTCATCCACCAGGAATATGGGTACTATTACCAAAAGAAATGCATATCTCGGGCGCAAACGTGCATTTTAAATTGTCTATGGTGACTGGGATAAGTCATTTTCATCTCTACCCAGGTACATGGCCGCACTGAAACACTTTAACCCCGGGACTGTTGTTGAATGGAAGCATGAGCGGAGTGCAGGAATACGGAATATATATTCAGATACGTGTTCTGGGCATTTAAACCTGCAATTGATGGTTTTGTGCATTGCCGTCCGCTAATTTCCATAGACGGTACTTTTCTATGGAAAGTATGATATTAAGTTGTTGATCATCGTTGCAGTAGATGCCAATGGACAAATATTTCCACTAGCTTTTGCCATATGTGCCAATGAAAGCCAAGAGACGTGAACGCTATTTTTTAACCACTTGAAGTAGAACGTTATCAAACAACGTTCAGGTATTTGTCTAATATCTGATTGGCATGGTGGTATATTAAGTTCTGTAGAGCATTTGCCTGAATGGCAGGTGTCACACCTCCTTTTTTTCTACTACACCCCCGGAAGGGGTATAAAAGGGAGTTTTTCCAATTAAAGGACAATCGAAACGGGATTCGTCTATTAAGAGATTGAGAGTCGCCACTTGGGAGATTTATGGTGTCCCAAGTCACCGGTTTGAATCCCGAATCGAGGAAAGGGTTTGACTCTGTTCAACAGTCGTGAACCAAAAATCCGGGTAAGGAATGCTGTTAACCCGGGAGAAGGGGTTAGGCACTCCCGAGTTCCGTGGTTCTAGCACGGTCGCTCAACTGCTATATTCGGCTTAATTATCTGATTTTAATACATTTTGAACCTATGTGCAAATTTTAGCTTTTAACCGCTTTTATTCAATTTTTAAAGAATGTTGAACGTCGTTTAAAACATATCTTCGGATCACGTCACATGAAATGCACCCGGATCCTCAACACATTTTATTCAACGTTTTGGGATTTGGATTTGGGTCACATGAAATGCACACCCGAGTTTAGGAAGGTAATATTAACCATAGGGATATCCCATTACATCTTCACATGTTTTCAAATGTTGAAACATACCTGGAAAATGTAAAGAAATGAGTAAGAGGAGCAAGATCAACAGTCAGACAGCAGCAAGAATAAAAGCCAGCAGCAATGATAACCCAGAAAGACCAAATGTAAACAAGAATAGGCTCAAAATCGACCAAAACTTGTTCAAAATCTTCAAACCACCTCCTAAGACCTCCAAAATCGAGTTGTTTTACCCCA